TTATAACACCCACATGCAACAATAATAATGTGGAAATGATAAAAATAGTTTTAAAGTATGCTATATTTATGGATAAATATGCTCTATTTCTGATATTGAGCACATGTAAATATAAAAGTGGACACTAATGTCAACACCAAATGAGTGATGACAGTCTGTTTCATGCAATCGTCATAGTTTGAAGATTGCATTCTTGTGACAACAGTCTTTCAATGCTTAGTGTTAACCTAAGTGTCCACTTTTATATATATTTATTCAGACATTTCTTTTGCACAACTTTTCTTGGGTGTAATGGAAACAACTACAAATGAATTACTCTTGAGATGAAGGATTAATTACAATGGTTGTAAAAAAAAAAAAAAAGGTTCCAAACTTAATTTCATTGTCCTTTCTCTTCACTAACGTTTTCTTATATCTTAATGGCATTATTGCCTTGGGGTGAAATGATTTAAAAAAAAAACAAAACAAAAAAAGAACAACATAATATTGATTAGTTTTCTAGAAAGAAAGAAAAATAAGAAATTCAAATAATAAGCAACATTTACAACTACCAAGACTTTCTTGGCTGCTTAATATCCAAAATGCATTTTCCCAGGTGTTGGAGCAACAACAAAAAAAAAAAAAACAATTATTTAATGCCTATAAACATTTATAAGTATCAGAAAGTGAAACAATATATATATATATATATATATATATATATATATAAAAACACAGTCAGAGCAGTGTCTTAGATTTTTGACACTAGTGGGGCAACATGTGTCCAAATCTTCACATTGATTGAATTAAATAGAAGGCTGCTCATTTGTTCTCCCAGAGACAATTTAGAAATTCCCCACAGTGTGGTAATGAATTTTCTTCTGATTTCGAAAGGGAATCACTCAACAAAAATGGTCTAAGAAAATAATCACTACCAAAAATCTAAAATGGCTGCATCAGACAGAGAGATGGGGTTGGGGTCACTTTACTTTTCTGATTGTAAATAGAATTAGATGTCAAATTCAACCAGTAGTATTTGGCAAATTTAAAAACTCAATTTTTTTTTTTTTTTGTTTCTAATACAGATTGGAAGGTCATTAATGTTTACATTTGTATTATACCATGTAAAGGAATTAAGTACAGGACAGCTTTGTACAAATTCAGAAGAACCTTACCATAAACAGTACTGAAGAAATGCCCCAACAATTCTGGTTAAATTCTTATTTAAGAAAGACAAGACATATCAAAATAACGATATTATGTAGCTAAGAAAGACAAGACATCAAAATAACTATATTATGTCGCATAAACATTAGAAATGCAGTATATTTCTTATAGGCTATACAATACTATCACAGTCATTTCAAACCTCAATAATAAACATTTTATTTACAACCATTGTGCTATGAATCAAATGATAGGCAGAAGTTTGGATAAATAGACAGAGATATATGCATTTAAGTTGTTATAAATAACTGTACGCTAAGAATTAAGATTAGATATTGAAAAGTATCAAAAATGCATAATGTACATTATTTCTGCACAGTAAAAGGAAAAATGGTTTCTTTCATGTGGAGAGAGAAAAAAAACTTTACTAGGTTCTGGTGAAAATGTAAAAAAGAGAGTAAATAATTTCTTTAGGTAAATAAGGGTTTCTTAGTTTCTGAGCTGTAATCAGTTAGGCTTGTTGATCAAGTATCCTGCACACTATTAAGTGGGAAGGAATCAAGAAAATGGGGTCAACAAGGAATTGGTCTGAGGAGTATTAAGCAGGTTAGAAAGTTTCAGAAAAGAAAACTAGGTGAAAGTAAAAATAAATTATATATTGTTCTCACTCAGTAATAATGGTTTTCTTTTTCCCCATATTCTTTCACTCAGTAACTCCTTTGTACCTTAGTGGCTTTATTGCAAAATGATTCATATATATATATATATATATATATATATATATATATATAAATAAATAAAGAGTGTAGAGAAGAGAGGTTTTTGGCTGGAAATCAAAAGACAAAATGAAAAAGATTGAAAGGCTTAAAAAGCAGAAGAAAAGAGAAAACTACACAAAATTGACAGATTTTGCTACTGGAGTAAATACACATTTCAGACTAAATCAAGTACCCTAAACCTGAATCTGTAGTCAGAATTGCTCAAGTAGGATTTCAAGTGATGTGGATGATTGGACAGACTATCTTATGTTGATTACATTAGGGAGTGACGGCAGCAAACATTTTGCCTGCAAATGTTTGAGACTAAATCAAGTACACTGATCTGATTCTGAATCTGTACTCAAAACTGTCCAAGGGCATCTTTATATTAATACAAAAGTATTGGCAAAATCAACAAAGCCTGCCAAGTGACCACAGAAAATAAATACCTAAACAGGTTCTATGTCTAAATGAGCAACACAGACCAAATGTATGTCTATCAAATATAATATCTACTTCAGCTGGTAGCCTTGGATTCAATAATGTTAGTTACACAGAGGTTTGTTTGGTTAGCTGACAAAGTTTTACCCACCCCTGCTCAGTGTAATTAAGGTTTTTTCAGTGATGAGGTTAAAGTTGCACTGTAAAATATTTGTTTATTCAATAAACTCTTTCCCAATAAAATACAACAGATTAATCATTTAACATACAATTAAAAATGTTAAATCTATGACAGTCCCCTTACCATTTATGGAATTGAGAACCCTGATGACATTGCTGACCATGGCTTCATTTCATGTTTAAAACGGTTAGTAAACTAAAATACTTTGGTCAAGTGGTTGGAGACCCTAGCCTGGAGAAGAGGGTAAGTGGAATCCCAACAACACAAAACCCACAAGCTGTTAAAGAGCAGATCAACTCCTTAGAGTCAACAGCCATCTAGCCGAACTATGGGTTAAATAACATCCCTAACCAGCAATTGTTCAAGAATGGTGAGTCTGGCTACACCCCTGAAGACATGGTTAATCAGAGAGGGGTTCCTCCAACAGGAGTGAATTAGCACTGGATTTGAACTTTGAAAAAATATTTAAGATATTAATATTAGTAATTTAAAAACATAAAATATTAATCAATTTAAATATGCTCAAAAATCCTAAGTCATCTGATTCTCGGCAGGGATGGAGGGGACTCCAATTAATAACATCTTCTTCTTTGACTACTGAATAAGAATGATGTTCTACCAAACCTGAAGTTTTTTGTTTTTTTTTAGTACTTCCCAATAGTGAAAAAAGCAAAATTTTTTTTTGTGAATTGTGGAAGGAACTTGGGATGAGGAAGAGATGGGTAGTAAGGGTCCCAAAAACAAAAGGATGGAAGAACTGATTACAGCTCATGAGTACATGGGAGATAAAAGTGATTTAACAATAAATTTGATTTTTTAATTTATATACAAACTAATAAGCCAATCAGTACAGAAATGACTAAGGTTAAAAAAAACTTTAATCTGAACAATCAAATCTCTTAAAAACAACTTTTATCTGAGGCTATTTGTGTCCATTTTGTTATATTGATAAAAAGAATTCTCTCTTGTTATATTACAAGAGTTAGAGAGTGATGAATGAGTGAATACACAGGTAAATCACTCTCACGTTAAAAAGCAATAGCAACCAAAAGCTGTTACTCCTCTAGTCAACCTCTACAGGATCCAATGACATGAGAGCATAATATACACAAACATCTTTTTTTCAAAAGTCTTTAATTAACAGGCAATTATCTTAAATGACAAGATTAAATTATAGGCACTTGAAGAACTAAAAGAAAACAATCATTTAAAAAGATATAGAAACAATTAAAAAAAAATAAAATGAGTGATAATGAATATGTTTTTTTTTGTTTTTTTTTTAATGGAATCTAAGATCATCTAAACAAGGGAATTAAGAACATAATTATTGGGGTGTTACCACCTAAAAGACCATTTATGGAAGGAGAAAGGAATTTACTTCTACACAGACTGGGATTATAGGAAAAAAAAGTGGAGGGGGTAAAAATATTACAAAAATAATGCCATAAAAGTAAACATTCCCTTCTACCCACCCAGATATAGTTAGTTAGTTTCTTTCTTTTTTTCTTCTTCCTTGAAGTTTTTCGTATTACAAAGTGATGACAAAAGAAAAAAGACTAAAGAATATTATATACATCACCTTGCAGATAAGGAGATTTAATATATAATGTCATACATAACCTAACATGCAACACAATGTGATTTGAGGGGGTGGAGAAAAGAGGCAAGAGAGAGAGAGAGTCAAAGAGGAGGTGGGGGCGTAAGCACCTATTAGAATTGTTATTTCTTGTTTATTTTTATTTTTTTAATGGCCCTTGTCCAAACTTGGAGCTTCCATAGATGATAAAAATAAAATTGCATTTGTAGAAAACACTAGCATTAAAAGAAATTAAAAAAGGATTTTTTTTTTGCCCATTTCATTTAGCTTAACATTTTATGTCATTAAAATTAAATGTTAAATAGGCTAATATTTGTGTAGATAAACTTTTTGACTTAGCAAGATGCTAATTTTCTACAAGTATCAATACACATTTGAAAACAACAACAACAACAAAATGGAATATAAAATTAAAGCAAAAGTGAATTTCCAAAATCTTTGGAATTCAGAATTTTTGTAAAAGATTTCCTTTAAAAGGAAAAAAATATCTTATAAAAATTAACATAATAAAAAAATTCTGAAGAACCATCAACTGGACATGAAATATATACAAAACTGAATTACAGCACAGAATCAATGATTTATTGATTTGTGGAGGGGAAGTATTTTTCTTTTTTTCTTTTCATGATTAATAGAAATATTTATTGTTGGATTCTTAACAAGAACCTGCAGTAAAGCTATAAGCGCAATTTAGAAATACTTACACAACTGTGAGAAACAAAAAATGCTGACAGTATCAATTTGCCTCTATGTAGTACTACCTCTATCCTATAATAGTTGTTATGCATGAAAATATAACAACTATTATGGGATAGACTGTAGAAAAAAATTTTTAAAAATTAGTATTGAATATAATGAAACTTTGCTTCTTTTTCACTCAGAAGGAATTTAAGATTGATGAAAAACAAGTTGGAAATTCAAGAAAAGGAAGACTTTGAAAATAAAAAGGGATGAAAAACAGAGACAAGTTAAAATTGTGAATGAGAGAAAGAAAGAGAGATGAAAAGGGAAGGAAGACAAGTGTTTTTTTTGCTGTGTAAAAATAACCAGGTGTAAAGTACTTTTCTACAATTCTCCAAAGAGACATCACAAGAGAAAGTGAAATTAAAACTACTAAATACAACTTTTTTTCTTTTTTTTTTTTTTTTTTTACAAAAACAACAGACAATCATTTTTCATCTTTATAATAATAGTAATAAAAAAACAAAAAAAAAAACAAAAAACAAAAAAAAACTTTTTTCATATAGAACAGGTAAATAAAAAAAAATATAAAAAAGATGCTGGTTACATCTAATGAAAAGAACAAGTTGACATCAATTTAATTGTATCAAAAATCAGTGCCACCAATTATGCAATTCCAATATTTTCTTTAAGAGTTTTATGCGGAATTGGGTTTTCGTTTTTGTCGTGGCCTCCACAAGACAGTCTGGCAGGAATCATGTGTTTTGTTGTAACTTGGGAAGAATAGTTATTTAAAGACAGGCTACATCCAGGCATGCAGGCTATTGAATGGGTCCACGAGGTAGGAAGAGGTGAACTAAAATTATTTAAGGTGTGTGGTTCACTGTGGTGATTGTTAAAATAACTGGGTGAGAGTCCACCCACATTAGCTGTGCCATTACAGCCTGGAGTATAACCGCTAGCTACTAGTTCTGTGTCAAAGTCAAATCTTTCATTGTGCCAACTAAACGGGCGATTTGAGTGAAATGTGATCATCGTCCCTGCTGTGCTACTTGGATAACAGGCTGATAACCTTCGGGCATCAGTGTCATGGTTTGAGGCCTGTGAGTGTCTGGAATCCGTAGATTTCATGGTGCCAGTATCTGTCGAGCAAAAACTACCAGTGCTGTTTTGCATAAGCGAATGGTCATTAAAAAGTGCCGTGATGAATGGAACTGAATTCCTGTTGGCCTCTGTTCGAATTTTTTCGAGTTCTGGATGTAAGATCTCCTTTTGGTTTTTCAGAGATATTTTTGTGGGCGATTTTGGTTTGGCATCCTGGTTAATATTAGCTCCTTCAGACTCTGCTGTGGTCACTCCACCAACAGCAAGTTGTTGTTGCTGCTGGATCACGGAAGCAGATTGTGCGGATGGTTGTGATGAAGATGGGGATGCTTGAGCTTGGTGCTGGTTGGCTTCCAAACTGGTTTGTTCAGGAGACTGAGAAAAGAAAAAACAAAAAGGTTTTTGGAATCATTATCAAAATTTATTCCCAAAGGAGAAACTCTCCATCAGCCTATTATATAGATGTCTATATATGATTTTGACTAAAGGTAGTGCCATGCTTGGCTTATGAGGCCAACTCTTAAACTTTACATCTCTGCAGGCATACATGTCTCAATATTCCCCAGGTGGACATGTTCACTGAGTGACAAAGTATTGTTTCAAAGGGAAAGTACATTTTCTAAAAAATAACCTATTAGTATGGAAATGACATCATTAAGCTTGTGATATGAACTGGGAATTACCGGATGTCAGTCATTTTGTCCTAATTGAAATAGTTATTTTATCAGTGAATTTTAACAAATTGTCTTAAAAACGTTAAAAATTTTTCAATCACAATAGCAACCCCCAGGCAAGGCATGGATCTGTTACATTGATAGAAGAACTTTTCATGGACAGTGAGAGCAACGAAGAAGAATTTCTCAGATTTACCCACACAGATATTAGTGATGTGTGTGACAGTGAGACTGAAAGTGATTCCGACCGAGGAGGAGGAATTTTCAAACCATCACTAACATACAATCACCCGTGGCTATCAAAGTTTTCCTATACTTCTAGACCTACAGATGTTGATCAAGAAACTAGTTGAGGTAGAAGATTTTCGTCTTTTTTCATCTGACAAAGTTATTTATTTAATGATAGTGGAAACTAACCGTTATGCAAAGGATGTGAAAACAAAATTAGGAGACATAGCAAAGCCCAACTCACAAATCATTTGCTTTGAAGAAATGAAAGCATTTTTGGCCTTGCTTTTGTTGATAGGTTTGATAAAGTGACCTTCGTATTTGTCTTGCAGGACAACAGACCCCATTTTTATATATGCAAGGCTTTTCTTGATGTGATGAGTAGGAATCGTTTTTCATCAATTCTGTCATATTTATTTTTAGTTTTCATAATTTTATTTTCTCAAAATTTATTATATGTACAGAAAAAAAATACATATCTACATTTTTCTACATCCTTTCATGCAAATACCCTGAAAATTTTATAAAAATATCTCTAAAACTCTAAAAGTTACAGTGCTAGTAATATAACCACCATTCAAAAACTTAGCACCCACAAAATTAATGTGGATTCAGGAGACAACTCCAGAAGTTAGAGCAGAGTCATAAAGGTTAAATGGACTCTTAGGAACAACAAAAAGAAAAAACAGCAGAAAATTTATTTAAAGGAAAAAAAAAATATATATATATATATATATATATATATATATATATATATATATATATATATGCAATTGTTATCATCAGAAAACATCTCAGAAGCATTCCATGCCCATAAAAACTTATTTATTACATTGGCCATAAAACAATATTCCATGACTGACTCCAGAGAGCAGAAAGCAACTGTTCTCTTACCTGACTTGTGGGTGGATCCATATTGTGCTCAGTAGATATGCCTCCAGAACACTTGTCCACTGATTGTGAAGTGACAGTATCTGTGTGGAAAGCAGCCTCCCCTGCATCACACACTGCAGCAGTGGAAGAGGGAGCAACAGCAGATGGCGTAGGCAGGGCATTTAACAAACTGGCATCATTGGGTCGTTGTGAGGGAAGCTCACCCCGCAAGATATCTGGTAGACTATGCTTAGGACCAATAGACTCCACATTATTGAAACCACGGCAATCATTGCTAACTAAAGATGGGATGGCATCTGCTGGCCAAGCTGAATGATCAGGGGGCAGATTTTTCCATTGAGTGTTAGTAGACATTGAGCTTGCAATTTGATCAGCAAGATTTTTGTTCCATGCCTCTTGGACTGAAGTATCACTGTTTGCCCATGCCCCTGCCATCTGGGTGGAGCCAAGTTTGTCAGAAGCTGAAGGAGGCAAGCCATTAGCTGCTGCCCAGGAAGGGACAGAGTCCAAAGGTACAGGTCGAATTGCTGATGTTGCCCAAGGTGCAACCACGTGATCAATGCCATTTGTCGTGGAAGTAAGGTTCTGGTTGGATGATGGTGGGCTGTAGTTGATGGATGGGATTGATACCATGTTCTTTGGCAACATCCTTGATTCCTTGTTAGATGTATGTGATACTGGAAGTGGAGGTGGCAGAGAGTATATATTTGCACTGGGATCAGTTTTGGGAGATTCTGTAGGCAAAGTGGGTGTCTCAATTGCCGTCTCTGGTTCTACATGTAACAATCTATGCTGTTTGAAGCTATCTCGTCTACTCACGCTTCGACTAATTGGCTTACTTGGTTTTTCACATGGGGATGGTGACTGAGGCAAAGCTGGTTGTGGAGCCCCTGTTATTGCATACTTCAGAGGTATCTTATTACTGTAGAGAATTTGTTGGTTGCTGGGAGCAGGTGGGGTGACTGACTGGGCTTGTGGGCTTGATTGTGATGTTTGCTGCTGTTGCTGTTGGGATGGTGGTGGTGGTTGTGGTTGTGGTGGTTGTTGCTGTTGTTGTTGTTGCTGCTGCTGTGGTAACAAGTGGTTTCGATAACTACCACTACTGTTTGTTTGGGACAAAGGGGAGTGTGGACAGTTAGTCTTGGAATTTGGACTATTTCCAGAACGGTTTGTAGACTTGTATAAATCCATCGGTCCATTGTCAAATTTTGGACTTCTGTTACTAGAAACAGGAGCTGCAAGCATATAATCTGTAAAAAGAAACATTCACTTCAATCTTATGACAGATTAAATTTTTCTTATCAACCAATTAATAATGTGCACACACACACACACACACACACACACATATTCCTTGTTTTTTTTTTAAATTTCACTTTACATAACTTTGCTTTTACATCAGTATAGGTCCCTAAGTATTTGAAATTACATTAAATAACAAAACAGTTACTATTAATTTATAGAAAAAAAAATTTTTTTTTTTTTTAAATAATCTTTTTCTATGTTTACTTTATTTTATATTTAAGACAAATTTTTCTATCTAAATAATAATTAATAATATTTAAATAATTGCAATTATTTTGGAATTACATTTTTGTTGTTCAGCATACATTTTTTGTCTATGTTTAAGAAATACTTCCTGAATATTTACTAAATTGAATTTAAAATAGAACAGACAATTTACTATTCTGTCTGGAAAGACAATTTACTATTCTGTCTGGAAAGACAATTTACTATTCTGTCTGGAAAGACAATTTACTATTCTGTCTGGAAAGACAATTTACTATTCTGTCTGGAAAGACAATTTACTATTCTGTCTGGAAAGACAATTTACTATTCTGTCTGGAAAGACAATTTACTATTCTGTCTGGAAAGACAATTTACTATTCTGTCTGGAAAGACAATTTACTATTCTGTCTGGAAAGACAATTTACTATTCTGTCTGGAAAGACAATTTACTATTCTGTCTGGACTATTCTGTGTTATTTTATATTATATCTGGAAAGACATCTGAAAGGCCTATACGAATAGATAAACCTTTTGTAATCATTCAGTTCTGTCTGGAAAGACAAATATTCTGTCTGGACCAAATGATTATCAAAAAGGTTTTATATTCTGTCTGGAGACAATTTCTATTCTGTCTGAATATAACATCAATCAGCTGTGACAAATTTTATATTTGTATTATTACTATTATCTCTGTAATACTGAGCACTTTATTGCAAAGACTGCTTTTCTTTCAGACTTCTACTGACTGACAGCATTTCTGGCTTCACATTATCTTTGTTATTGCTACTATTATTATGTATAAATATCTGTATACACACTGCATTATATATATATATATATATATATATATATATATATATATATAAAATGCAGTGTGTATACAGATATTTGGATAAAATATAGAATAACAAAAAATAAAATATAAAATTATATCCAAAAACTTCAAAAAGGTTGCAGTATAGAATTTATTCTGCTGAGAAGAAAGAGAATTTTTAACTAAAAAAATATTAAAAAAAAAATTTCAATCAGCCAAGTGAGAAATTAATCTTTTTTTAACATTTAAATAAACAAAATGGGTTAGTTGACATGTCTATTGTCAACATTCCCTATTTTGGCTTCAATATATTATTAATACTAATATAATTATATATATATATATATATATATATATATATATATAGTAGCACTGTAATGATGTGTGTTGCATTGTTAGAATTTAATTTGCAATAGTCACTAGTGAAATTGAAATATGCCTTGACAGGTTGTGGCAGACAGTTCTCATTGCAGAACACTGACACCATAATAAGTTTCTCAGGTTTCCTTCTAGTGATTATTTGTTTCAACAAAATAACAACCCTGTCTATATTTGTGAGATGAGGTATTATGTACACTATTTACATTATTTGGACTATTGTCCTCATCTTTGTCACCATATTGTAGATATAATTGACCCATTGATCAGAAAGTCTCCTTCATATGTTCGAAACTCCGCTCACTTTGTGGAAATAATCAAAGATGCTCCCATCTTATCCAACCAGATGGTGAGCTTGGACATGGTGAGTTTGTTCACCAAGGTATCCATGAAGGAGGCACTCTCAGTAGTCAGAGACAGATTGGCCTCTGATTCATCCCTAGAAGAACGGACCAGTATTCCAGTAGATAAGAAATCTTATGGAGATGTTGACTTTCTGTACACAAACAACACACTTCGGAATGGGATCACACATATTGACAGGATGAGGGCTTAGCAATGGGCTTGCCGTTATCCCCGGTAATGGTGAATATATACATGGAATACTTTAAGGAAATGGCATTAGAATCTATATATCAAAAGTCAACTCTATGGTTAAAGGTACATAGATGACACCTTCATACTCTGGTCAAACCAGGAAGATGTTCAGGTTCTACTAGACCATATGAACTCAATAAGACCTTCAATACAGTTCACGATGGAGAGAGTAACAACACACTCCCATTCCTGTATGTTCTAATATCAAGACATCCGTATACCGTAAACCGACATTCACCGGACAGTACCTCAATTTCAACTCCCACCATCCATACAGCGTAAAGAAAGGGATCGTCCGCTGCTTACAACACTGAGCAAAAGTCATAAGTGGTGACCCAGAGACATTAGATAAAGAATTGGTCAGTATAAGTAGTACCCTACAATGTAACAACTACCCTGGGTACATGGCAGCACCCCCAAAAAAACTGGGATAGACAGGTACAAGAGGAAGACAACAATACTCAGAAAACAGTCTGCCTTCCTTATGTGAAGGGGTTATCAGAGAAAATACAAAGGATCTGTGGATCAAGAGAACCTACAAAAGCTGGACGACACTTCACAGATATCTCTCCTGAGTAAGACCCATCCCATAGAGAACATGACTAAAGACTGTGTGTACACTATCCTGTGCAGCTGCGGAAAGAAATATAAAGGGGAGACAGGTCACACCCTTAAGATAAGGCTTCAAGAACACCAGAAAGCTGTAACACGAGAGAAAGTGGAAAAATCAGGCGTGGCTGACCATATATATGAAGAAAAAAGGGGAGATCACCACCCTCTATAGGATCAAGTTGAGATCATAGACAAAGAAGATCACTGGAAAATATTTAAACTTAAGGAATCAGCACATATGCTAAGCCACAAAAATCTCCTGAGCTGACCAAGCATAGAAATGAATACAATATGGGAATCAGTAATAAGGAGTGCTAGAGAAAAGCGATAATAACAACAAGAATTGCAATATGAGTTTTGTTAAAAGCATGCAATAACTGCAAAAATTGCAATATGAGCACTGATTGCTGAAGACATTAGGTTTATAATACCCAGAAATTCATACACAGATGTCCACAAGGACACACGGCACAGTGGATAATGGCATTAGATCCAGTGACAGGTGAGTTCAATACCTGGTGAAGGTGGTAGAGAACTTGGAGAGGGGAATTAACAAATTAAACTGACATCCATTAGACATGGCACATGTAACTAGAACAGTCTACTGTGAGCGAAATAAAAGGTTCAGTTTGACATTCCAACAACCTGAAGAAGGCCGGAGTGCACAACATTGTAATAAATATGGCAAGATGAGGACAATAGTCTGAATAATGTAAATAGTGAAAATAACAACCCTTTATCATGTGCAGATAATATGAAACTGCTTCCAGGAACACACCGCTATCTTGCCATTAGTCTATTGGACCCAGCACTTATCAAATTTAAATTCCATTCATTCTGTATGATGGAATCCTTACTAAATTCTATACAGCCATGCCAACCAAACTATCCTAGACTGTGTCTGGATTTACACACACACACACAATTCATAGACTGTCACATGAGTCATGACAACCATTCTACAAGAAAGAGGAACTATCCAGGCTATCAGGTATCTGTTTAATTTTTGGCAGTTTATTTTTTTCTTCATTCATGAGTTTGTGATTTAAAAAATATTTCTTTATGATGTTGCTTGTATTACAATCTATTTAAAAAATAAGTATTAAAAAATTCATTAGTGTTCCAGCAAATTATATAGAGATTGATTTAATGTATTGTCTAAAGTTGTACTTTTTTTTATTATGTATGCCAGTACCCACAACCATTAGTAGACCACAAAGCTGAGGTACTCCAAGATCACCATTCACCAGTCTAAAACACTATGACCACAAACCTAATACTATCAGCAAATAGAAATGTTGTCTAAATCAATATGACCATAACCCAGTGCTGTCATTGTACAGAAATGCTATCTAAAATGCTACAACCATAACCCAGTGTTATCAATATAAATACACATTATTGTCGAAGTATGCAAATATGATATATTATAAATACAACAAAGTCATCACTCTTTTTACCCAAACTGTTAAATTATTTTCATCATCTTTTTAACAAGATAAAATCTCAAATAATACATATAATAATAATCTGTTTGGTTTCGGTAAGAAAAAGAAAGAAACAGAAGCTACAAGAGGTGATAACACTCATGTATTTAACACCTGCTTTCAATGAAATGGAAAAACTCGTCAATTTTAAATCTTAATTTGTACCCTCTTACTTCTTTAAATAATGGCCTGCATTCATATTTGATTGTTACTATAATATTTTGTTAAAGTTGTTAAACTCAAATATTTAACAATGCAATAGATGATTTTCCACAGATATTTTGTAGTCATAAAAGGAACTTATTTATTTATTAAATGTTATGATTCATCAGAAAATTCAAATAGGAAAACTGAAATTTTCACAGTTACTAAGCCTAAACAATTTAAATGCATCCAAATATTCATAACTTTAATCCGTATAAACTTAAAATGTTAGAAACATTAAGGAACATGCTAAGCCATTATTAAGACTGGAAATCTTTATTGCTTTTTAGTCATAATTTTAAATTCTTTAATTCTATAACTCTAGAGTATCAACAAAATATTTGTCAATAATAAAAAAGGCTTTGATTAAAATACCTTGTAAATTAGTAACAGTTTCTCGAGTTGGGATTGTAAACTTGTTTCGACTTTGATTAGGAGTACCTAAAACATTGGCTCTTGGGGGACTGTCAATAATAATTTCACGAGCATTATCTGAAAGTAAAAAATGTAATCAAGTTTGCATGATGCCAGTACACAAAGGGACTTTTTTTGTTAATAATAAAAAAATTATTTAAATAACAATATTCCTATTAGTTGCTTTTAATAGAACATTTAGAAGGTGGAAAGTAATGCAGAGAGAAATCAAATTATCAGATAAATTTATATCAATTTTTCAGTAATAAAAAATTAAAAAAATTTTTTATACGCTTTGCTATTCAGACCAACAGACGTATATGCTTCAGGTGTCCGTCATTGTACTTAGAAACCCTGGAATTTCCAACAGAACTCATTATTCAATTCACAGGAATAGATTGTGGAATGAAAACAATCTATGCTTAGGGGAGATAACTCATCACTTAATAAATCCCAGTTTTATTCACCTTTGTATTACTCGTCTGTTTCTGGCACAATGAAATTGCAAAGACGTGCAAAAAGAATATCACTAGCATTTATCAACAAAATATCAATCTGTAAAAACGGCAAAGCAAGTTGGAATTTTCGTCAGTTTACAAAGACTGAAGCATATAATCAAGATACAAATTTGCAGGAAGAATTAATTGACTTGCAAAATGACACTGATGAAAAATTTGTAAGTACAAATTATGAAATTACTAGCATAGTCCTTATGAAAAAAAAAATTATATATATATATATATATATATATATATATATGATTTATTATGTACGAATAAGTGATACAAATATTTATTACCAATGTGTTTTTTCATTATATCAGAGTGAAAATATTAGGATGAGAGCATTATCAGTTTTGCAATCTTTTATTTTATGTTAGTAAAAACTAGTTTGGTGAATTAAGTGCTAAAAAGTAATTACAAATGAATGAAATGCATAAATTCAAGAAATAAAAGGAAATTCAACAAATAAGAGTTGTACTTTGATTCTAATTATAAACCAGCAGAAAAAAAGGAATAATTACCGATAAATTGGAAGTGTAGTTAAATACCGAAAATATTTTTTCATTTATTTTTTTATTTGGTAAAGTATTATAAATCAATATTTACATCGTTTGAACTGTTGTCCTCATCTTTATTGCCATATTCATGATGTTTTCGCTGTTGTATGCTCCAGCCTTTTTCAGGTGACATATGTTTGAATTTCAAACCGAACCTTTATTTAGTTCACAGGGATAGATTTTTCTAGTTCCACAGGGATAGATTTTTCTAGTTCCACATGCCATGCCTTTTCTGAATATCTCAGTTTCAGTTAATTCCTTTTAGTAACTCAACTCTCCAAGTTTTTGTTCATCTCTGCTGTGGCCAGGTATTGACACATGGCCTACTGGCTAAAAGCGTCAGTTGAAGTAAACCAAAAAGTGACTTGACCCGAAGAATTGTGAATTCAATACTTGGCCACAGCAGAGGGAACAAAATCTTGGATAGTTGAGTTAAAGTGAATTAACTGATACTGAGATATCTAAAAAAAAAAAAAAAAAAAAAAAAAGTCATGCCATATGGAACTAGAAAGATCTACTCCCATAGACTAAATAAAGGATTTGGTTTGAAATTCCAATGTACATCACCTGAAGACGGTCAGAGAGCACAACGGCCGAAATGTCATGAATATGACAAGATGAGGATAACAGTCCAAACAATGTGTAAATAGTTACAATACCACATCTCAGAAATATAGCCAGATATCATAAATCATTGTAGCAATTTAACAGTGGTCATAGCCTATAAAAATATTTAGACATACAAAACTCCATTGAAAATTATAGTAAAGATTGACAGTGGTTGAAAATGTGTGATAAAATTGGGAGTCACAAAATAGTAACGGGAAAGAAATGTGATATTTTAATATGGCTCTGGCTTACCTCCCTTGAATCTTAATTTGAAAAGAACAAAAATTATAATAATCAACTCTTATGTGAAGTGAGAATTTCAATTCAGTGCAAAGAAGACTTACCATCATTTTCATCAAAACTGACAGTGACCTTATCACTGACAATTCCTGATGTCGTATTTGAGCTTGTGTCACTGATGACTGAACACCGCTGCACAACACCAGTCCCCGACCTGCCACTACTGGTAGATGGAGCTGCACAATAGGGCACCAGACCCCCATTAACCACCAAGTCACGTGCATCACTGTAGATATAAGATTCACGGTATCTTCTTTTATCTGCAAAAGATAATTATATAAAACTAACCATGAAGATGATCTGATTGACGTTTTTTTTTTTTTTTTTTTTTTTTTTCATTTAACCATTTCACCTCAAGCAAGGGGGAAAAAAAAAGGTCATTAAGATGTAAGGGTTTACTGAGTGTGAGAGAAATAGGAGAAAAAGAAAACATTATTAAAGAGAGAGCGAGAGAGAGATAAAATTTAATATTCTTTTATACTTTTTGTATTTCTTACAAAAACAAAAAAAAAGTTATCTATTTGTGTGTGCGCACGCGAGAGAGAGAGAGAGTAAGTGGCGCCCAAAGAGAGATTTTCTTATTGCACGCAAGAGAGAGAGTTCCAAGCACGCAAGAGAGAGAGTGTGCAAGTGAGAGCATGTGTTGCGTGAGAGAGAGACTGAGAACTTAGTATACAATGCATTGAGTTTCAATATTTACCTTCAGCTTGCAGATGACGAATTTCCATTAATTTTGGTTCCAATTCTAAATGAAACATGTGAGTATTGCGACAAATAGAGAGAATATACTTAGACTTTGCATCGCTTTCTGTGTAGTAAGTAAATTTGCGTCCTTCAGGCCGTCCTACAGAACGGATCTCAAATTTCTTTTTCTGCAAAAAGAGAAACAAACAAGGCAAAGACTGAGGATCAAAATAGAAATTATATATATATATATATATATATATATGCACTCAAAGAAACTTCTTATACAACATCAAAAATTTTAATGCCAAAAATATCTTTCTAGTGCATTATGAGAATTCTATGTCCCTCCCTTTACTACAACCTAACAATGCATGGGTCACAACTCCTGCATTTTATTTATGAATCACTACATCATTATAACAGCATAAACAGATACCAGCTTGACAGGTTATTTTTAACAATGACACAGAACAAGTGATGGTGATAGACATCCCAGATACATAAAAGAAATATTGTGAACCTGTGGATAGATGACAAATTTTTCAAGAAATATGTCTGTATGTGAAATTCTCAACAAGAAAGAATTAGTTACTGCTGTGTATGTCATAAGAACTTTTCAGAGATGGTGAAATGTGTTTATTCTCATGGCGCATTAACTAAAGTTTACAATTATTTCATGTAGTCTTATTTTAGAAATTTAACATTTCTAAATTTATTATTAAAACCATTTCAGAAAGATTATATAATGGTATTAGGTGTCAAGGTCATTTCTATCAAATAGTGTTATGTAATAATTTGAATACAGAAAGCTCAAGAGATGAATCCTCCACTTTCCAACTTTATCTCCCCCTCTCCAGATAATAGTCAAAGAAGATTACCTATAGGAATACTTACATCGAAATACAACTTCTCAATATCTGGCCAGAGAAACGTTGATAAAAGATTTTTAAAATTGCCTTTCATTTCCTGAAATAAAAAAAAAAAAATTACAAATGCAATTACTTAACAGAGAAACTGACGCAAACTAACAACAAATATTTAATGAAATATTAGATTGTGTTCTTATATAAACGGTTTCCTCATTTCAACTGTGAGAATTTTGAAAAATAAGTTTTAGATTGGAAATGTTAATTTCTGAATATTTACTTTGGATGAATTTCACTTTTGTACATAGGACAAAATTTTTAATTCATTTTGGGAAGCCATAAATACACAAATTTTCCATCAATCAAATATGATTTAAAAAAAAAAAAAAAAAAAATAATGCAGTCAATAAATTATAAAAGTTTAGAAAAGGCACCTGACAATGGAGTTCTAATTAGCAAGAGCTGAACATCAATTCACTGTGAAAAAAATATTCAGTTTATCAATGTCAAAGCTAGATATAACTTTTTAATTCCCGTCAACATGATAATTCTATTTTCATTCCTGTCAACATAATTGTATGAAAACTTACCTCATAAATTTCTACACCTTTGGGGCAAATACCAAGCCATGCATTCCATATTTTATCTGTTTTCTTCTTCTTCATTCGATAGAAGTGTAGATTATGTGCAGCAGGGTACTTGATGGATTCACGTATATACTTAAGTTCTGCCTCATTTTTTGTGACATCCTGCTGTTCCTTATGCATTTTAGGAGCATTCTGGAACAAATATTCTTGACCATGTTCTCCTACCATCTGTGAAGAAAAATCAGAAATGATAAAGAGATGAGGTTATAAGGTCAAAATTTTACCAGAAGACTTTACAATCATTTTTTTTTTTTTTTTTTAATGATAAATATAGTTATATATCCACCTAATGGTTGGGTTCTTGGTATAAGGAGGTTTTTTTTGTTTTTTTTTAACTAATATGCACCCAATACAAAGCTCAAGAGTCAATCAAGGTAAAAGATTACTGTGTGAATTATATTAGCATAGGAAAGGACAAGAGTTAGGAGTATAGTGCTGAAGTAGACTTTAGAAGGAACTGGAAACCCAATCCTAAACAGGAAACAAGGGATAAACCTTTGCTCCTGTTCAAAAGGCTGGGAAGGAGTGTGAACCAGATGATAGATGAACCAAATCTATCTACTCCTATTGAGAGGTTAATACCAAAATACAAATTTAATATACTAGTCTATGATGATCTCAAAATGAAATATATGATTATAAATGATTAAATCAAGATTACAGATCAAAATAACACACACATTGTTGGGCGGTTTGGCAATTTACATTTCGGTATCAGTTTCCGTTTTTTTTTTTTTCTTGATACCACGTTTTTTGTTTTGGGTTTTAATTTAGTATTTTTGTTTAAGGAAACCATTCATTTTCTTGTGTAATGATAGCATTTCCAGTCAATATCTGATTTCATTTGAGATTGATAAATTTGCAAATTAGTCTGTTCAACTCACAATTTATCATGTATTTCTGGTCCAATCTTAAAAATATTCATATGGCTGGAAGGAAAATAATCTTTCTAAATATGTAATTTGTATGTGCTTTTATTCATTGAATTATTTTTATTTTTTTTACAGCGAGTATTTTGCTTTGAACAGCTGAAAATATGAAATATTCCTTTCAAATTATGTTCTTTTTTATATGCTGGTGCATGTTATAGCACAGGAAATATGTGCATGCACAAAACAGCTGCCTACTTGTTGCAGACACCCGCTCAGGTATATTTGTGTGTGTTCAATACTCACAGATCCCACCTGTAGTTTAAACTCTAAGTATTCTGAGCAGGCCTTAGTTGGACTTTCTGGGAGAAAAAGTGTATAATTTAGCACAATCATCAATTTGAACAAGATCAGTATGTTTAAACCCTTAGTCCAGTGATACTCAACTGCTGTGCTGTGCAATCCTCTTTAGTGTGCCACAAATATTGTCACAGCATAGATGTGCGTGTGTGTGGAAGTAGTAATGATATAGCATTAGAATTTGAATAAATGAATAAGTATTAAACTTTTCTTTTTTTTTTTTTTTTTCAAAGAAATTTTTTCACTATTTTTGCTTATGCAATTTTAAATACTTTGTTTTAACATTTATTTTTTAAAATTACCCTTTAAAAATTTTGCTAAGTGTGCTGTGATATTTTCATTTGCTCCTAGGTGTGTTGTTGCTTAAAAAGGTTGAGAAACACTGCCTTAGTCATTATGACTTGTGACTGTGCTAGCATAACCATCAACAGCTTTTTAACAATTCAGTCTACCCAATTTCACTCAAGGCTTAAGTCAAACTATGATATAGTTTTTAGACACTTTCCAAAGGTGCTGTACATTGTGATTGCCTTCTCATATAGAGCATGGTTAGATTTGAACTCAGTCATCATATGTTCAGAAAGCAAGAAACGATCTAACCACACACACACACACACACCAAAAGTGTGTGTGTATGCGGAGATTTATATTTTATACCACTTCTCAATTTTTCTTAATTTTTACTTACCCAAGCTGGGAAATATTCTCTGGGGTCGAAATAATTGCCCGGCTGGTGCTTCTCAGGATAATAATTCCCAAAGTCTGCTTGCAATGCAAAAGCAGCCAATTGGAAGCAACGTTCCTCACTACACAAATGCCTGTAGTTAAGGACATTTTCTTTTAACTGAAGGTAATACAAGTGTCTGGTTACTTTTTCTCTGGAATTAAAATAGAAAAATAAGTTTAAAAAAAAAAAAAAAAAAAAAAAAAGAATCAGGAGAGATTTCATTCATTTACATTTAAGAAAGGGAGCAAAAACTTTTCCTTGCATCTTCAAGACATTGATAAATATTTAAATATTACAAGCTTTTACTTTACTGTGAATATGAATGGATAACACTGTGTAATAAAAATGCTTTATTTTTTTTTTTCTTCACTTTCTCAAAAAACAAAATTAAATAAAAATAAATAAATGAAAAACACTTTATAACACATGATATATCTACATTTTTTTATTTTTTATTTTAATCAATTCACTCCAAACGAGGTGATAATGTCACTAAGATGCAAAGGGCAAATGGAAGTGAGGGAGAATAACATGCTTATATATCTTGATGGGTATTTTATATTTGGGCAGCAATTTTTCTTTAATGTTTCATTAAATGTGACAGACAAGAAAAATATCAAAATTTTTTTTTTTTTATTAGTATTTCTAATGTTCTTACAGTTTTCTTTCTTGACTAAGAGAGTGTAGAAACTGTCTGTAATGATTATTGTCCCAAGTGTATTTGGCCAATACATTAACCATTTCCAAGAGGTAAATTGTTAATATATTTTCCTGTGTTTATATTATATTGTATGGAAGTAGTAGAAATTCTAAACTGTGCTGGAAGAGATGTGGTTGCAATTCCATGTTGGTTCAGGTCTTTTAGAAGTCAGCCAACAGATTACTACTGTTGTCAAATATGGTAAAGATGAGGCTTGGCTGTTTTATTTAAAGAGCCTCAATTATCTTAAGACCTCTTTTACAATTAGATTTCTTTCGAATGATGGTGTTGGTTACAAGAATTTTTCTAATGAGTGAAAACTGTTGTGGGTGGGTATCACAGTGATTTTTTATGGCACTGAAATCACTTAAGTGATTTATCAACCTTTTATTTTTCTATTTTAATAGGTATAAAACATGATATTAAACTATTTTATACATTTTTTTTATTTTTTATTTTAATAATTTATTCAAGCTATTTAAAACTAATAGCAATATTTAAGCAATTTTTTAATTGAGGAAAAAAAAAATTATATACTGCTCTGAAGTTTCTTGCTTATGTCCAATACTTCCTGAATATTAAACATTAAAGTCACCATTGAATAATTAATTTTTATCTCACCAGAAGATTCTAGATAGATAGGAGGTGGGCAATTTTTTGTAGTGGTGATGTAGAAATGTGTTACACACACACACACAGACAAATAGGTGACGAAAAGTTCTTAACCCAACTCACTTCCCATCAAATAAACAAACATTTTTTTAAATTGCCTTTTGGTTGAGCCAAGAACTTTTCAGCATCTCTTCATATATGTATACACACAGCATTTTATATATGTGAAATACTGGTTTTACTTTATATTATTACTGCTGCTCTTTATTACAACACATAAAGAGAAGGTTGTTTTTTGGTTTTTTTTAACAAAACCAGTGTGTGATTGGATAAATCTAGGAATAAAACTAACAGTGAAAATGAGTCAACAGAAAAAAATTTAAATAATTCTATATGATCAAGTAATAAAATAAACACGGCTGAGAGAATTGGAGAGGAGGATGTGGCAGAATGACTGTTTATTTTCCACTTAAAAATCAAGCCTTCCATGGTTAAAATGTTTACGGTGTTCTCTATGAAGGACAAGCTAACAAAGTGTGTGACATGGATTCAAACCTCAGCAGAAGCTATTTCTTTGTTTTTGCATTATTCTCATGATTGAAATGTTTATTAACAAAGAATGTTATAAAAAGCAAAAATAATAAAATGGAGTGAAACTAGTAATAAAAAATGATATTAGGTTATCATGCAAAGTAATATATTACGTTTTTTGGAGTAAGAATAAAGATCAAGTCTTTAATTTATTTATGAACAATACAATCATTATAAGTAATGGGAAATGCTAAGCAATATTTTAAATCCTTGTTAAATGAATAAATAAAATAATTAACATCTAACTCAATGCATCAAGTTTTTTTTATTTGAATAAGCAAAAATAATTATAGTAAGTCTTTGTCAACAATTTGAAAGGGTGAAGAAAAAAAGTTTACACTAAAAATCACTACATTTGCTCAAGAGACAGTATGCCATTGTCATTGTTTAGAATGCAAACCTCAAATTAGGCAATCAAATCATTATGTGAGGATAATTTAGTAAACTATACCACCATAAATGGCTTTGGACATTAGAAATTTAATTTATTCATATTACTAGAAAAAGTTCTCAGTAGCAAAAGCTTTCAAAGTAAAAAGGAAATCAATTCAGTATTATTAAAATTCTGTTAATACTAAATTCTAGATTCATACAAGAAATAAAAAAAAAAAAATAGTTTAATACTGAATTTTGTTGTTATTGCTAATGATTGACAATTATCATTTTAACAAATTCAAATGTTTATTATTATTATTTTTCTCCTAAAATGGATATTATTAGTCTTAGAAAATAAACACATCTATTGCAACAATAATTACTGAAGACATTAAAAAAAAAGTTTTTCTGTACTTAAGCTTAAAATGTCTAATATAACCTTACATTGTGTTTGTGTGGCAATTTCTTATAGGGGCCTGACAATAATATGTATTTGATTGAAATCAGTAACAACTGAAAAGCATGTGGTAACACTACTGGTTAATCAATAAAATTGACACTGCATTTCACATTATTAGCCAATTTTAACATAAGTTTTAGAAAAGCTAATGAAAAAATTCAAGACATAAGTATTTATCAATGTGCAGAATATTTCAAATAATCTGTAGTAATTATAATAAATGACATGTCACTATTATGAAGGAGCAACAATTTTAGGAATTTTACTGGATTTTCCATCATCAATAAAGTTACAAAAACTTCAAGAAATATGATGTAAATAAAAATGATAATTACACAATATACACAAAGTTTACAATAACAAGGTTTTTTAAAAAAATGAAAACCATGATAATGATGACAAAGTCATGAAGACAACATTAATATGGATTGTTCCATCTGCACCTTAAAAAAAAAACAAAAACAAAAAACAATAGATCTATGCTGTCATTTTAAGCCTATCTGGAATTTGCCATGGGCCCACCACTTTACTGTCAATATCCTATCATCTCCATTTTACTAATGTCCTAATCCGTTCAGATAGTAACCACCCAACCTTTGACCTATTCCTCTAACACATAACATTTGGGGGGGGGTCTTTGAAAAGAACATTTGAAAAATTAGTCTTCACGTATTCTGTGGTTTATTTCAGTCAATTTTCTTTAGTTGTTGTCTTTTCAAGGATGCTAAGGGATTGGCCTTACACATTTTGCCATTTGATTTAGAACATGACATTTCCTCACTGCCACTAAGCTCAAGATTTCACAGCTTGACAAAGATGGATATTTTTTTTCTAACTTGTCTCTTGATACAGGGATACAGATTAGCAAGATAAAACTCCTCAACTTGTCCTTATGTGACCCGCATCAGAGTCATCCAAGATTTTTAACAGACTTCTTCAGTTTGCTGGCATCTGCTGATTATTTTTGCAATGTTCAGTGTTGTCTTGACTTTCTGCTATCTTTGAACTTCTTAAACATCTCTTTATCTGTCAAATCACTCTTACAATCCATTTTAGAGTTTCAAACTCACAACTTGGCTATTAATTTGATACTTTAAAATTTAGAATATTTCATGCAAATATCTGTTTTACATCTGCACAGAACAAACTGCCTTGCATATTAAATGTGCAAATGGGTGTTTCCATCATTCAGCAAATAAACCTTTAGATTTAAGTATTTATTTTATATATTGATAAAAAATGAAGTGATTAATCCTGAGATGCAGTGTATAGTGTCTTAAATAAATTAATCCTTAATTCTTCTTTTGCTTTTCAACACTGCTACTTTTGTTAAGGGTTTGTGGAAGAAACTAGAGGCTTGTGTAAACCCTGCATCTTCCCAAAAAAACAATTATTTAACAAGAAATTATCAACTTTTTGATACAATTAATTCTGTAGTTTATCAATTGAATATACTGAGAAAAAAAAAGAAAAAAAAAAAAAAAGAGTATTACTTCATGTACGAGAGGAAGTTAAATGTAAAATATGACATCTAAAGCTCTGATTTATTATTTGGTTGAAATAAAAGCTCACAGCATTTTTCAACAGGCAGTTTGGAGCCACCATTTCAATAGGCAGCATTTGAACACTTTATTTCATATATCACTGAAATTTATTTCACATATACATATTCTGAAAGCTGACATTTTAACACACCTTTCTATACAATTCATGTGTGGATGAACATTTGTAAGTTAAAAGTGAAATTAGAGGAAAATGAGATGCATTTTCATCATTTGATGCTCTTGTTTCCAGAAAAAAAAAGAAAAAGAAAAAGATATATGCCATTTATGAAAATGGTGCTGGAGCTAAGAGTACTGTTTGTAAGTGACTTGCTAAATTCAGAAGTGTAAGTTGTTACCTACAGGATCAAGAACATTCCAGCAGACCTGCAGTCATTGAGGATGGCCAAAATTAAACGGTAGCTAAAAATAATTTAGCTCACACAACACAGGACATTGCAGATATACTCCACATATTTCATATGAGCATTATAAAACATTATAGAGAAAACATTTGGATACATGAATCACTACAACGTTTGAGTGCCTCACAATTTAATAGAAAAAAATTTTAATAAGGTCATATTTCAATCACAAACACTTTGTGCTTAATATATTTGTTGTGAATTCTTAACAAAAAGAAAAAAAAATGTATAAATTCACTTTCATCATATGTTTAGGTTTTATTCCAATTTTAATTATCGCTTTTTAAAACAAACATTGCTGAAGAGTGAAGGTAGTTAAAAAAAGCAGTGTCATGGGGGGGGTCCTTTTGACATCAAGTTTTATTATGGGCATGTTTAGCCATGTTTGCCATACATTCTATATAAATGACATTCATAAATCTTTATGTAAGGTGGTGACTGCTTAGTCGATGCTAATTTTAATGTAAAGTTAGGTATAAGATTGCTAAATCAGGGTACTGTTTTAAAGCCCACCACTGATAAATTTTAAAATTAACTTTTTCTTATTACTAGCCCAAGTTTGCTCTGCTTATTTTCAAAGTAACTCCAAAAAGTCAAGTAGTAAGATTTAGTCATGCTTTGTTTAAAAAAAAAAAAAAAATAGCCCAACCTGATAATACTATTTGAGTACAGAATATAAACTATCTTTACAAGCGTTGTATTTTGACTTTTCAAAAGTCACACTGATATAAAACATTTTTATCAACCTTGTACACATCAGAATATATAAGAAACCAGGCACTAAGTCTTAAGACAATTACTTGATAGTATATAGGTACATCAACAAGTACATAGCCTAATGATGAAAAACATTTTACAAAAATATTTTTCAGTATAATCTCTTTCTTTGCACTTAGTACTTTGTCACATGGATTGAATGCTATACAGTGAATATTTCAGATAGAAACTCAGCTAATAACTGTGTCAAGCTATAAACTTACTGATTCAGCCTTGTACATAATTCAAATTAAAATATATATATATATATATATATATATATATATATAAGTTCAATTTTTGCATTCCCTTTAATGCCTTTGCTGTCAATAGGAATAAAAGGCATTCATTGCTGTCCTATTTTGATTATTTTAAGTCATAACTGGTTTGTGGCAGAGTGGCTATAACTAAAGCTGAGAAGGACTGAATTCCAATGTGACTGGTGGTTTGAAACCCCACCAATACCACCACTTCTGCAAACTTTTCCTCTTACAATGTCAGGAGACAATTTTTTTTTTTTTTTTTTTTGCACTTACCTCAGCAAACAGACTTCATCAACATAAAACTGCACTCGAAAATAAACGGTCAACAATGGAAGCCTTTTGTCATCAAGACCCTGGAAAAGAAAAGAAAAATATATGTAAATTTTGGTAAATAGGAGAGAAAGCCTAACTATACTACTAATTTGCATTATACTTACTGTATAGTCTAATCCTGACTTTACAGTAAAAAATAAACAAAAACACTTTGTTTTGGTATCTCCCCCACTCACCTTTATATGAAATTGTTCAGAAATTTCCAAGAGCATTATAATAAATTTTTAAAACACTACAACCAAAAAAACAAAAAAACAATGCAAATGAAAGAAAGAAAGAAAGAAAAACATCAATAATGTAAATAATGATTAGTGAAAACAACTATTTGTCTATTTGTACAAAATACAAGAAACAAAGTTTAATACAATTCATATCAACATCTGAGGCCAAAAAGAAACATTAAGTTTAAGACATTTTTTTTTTCTTTTAATACAATATTAGCAGAATCTCAAGAGGTATTGACAGTCCAGCATTGGAGAAAATTGACAATGTGAGAAATAAAAAGAACAAGGAGACAGATGTAAATTTTGAGGGATAAGAGCACAAGTAGCACTGGATTCAAGTGGCTAGTGAGGCAATAAAAAAAACTTTTGGAATACAAGCGCCATAAAGAGAGTTAATAGGAGTCCAAAATGATACATTAACTACAAGTGGTTTGTTAGTAGAGCTATACATGTGTATAAATATTAATATGGTTTGTGTTTGTTCTTATCTTTCAGTGTCCTTAACCAATTCAAAAAGATGTTTCTCAATTGTCACTATACCAATAAAGAAACCACCCACTGCTTACCTGATTTGGGCGTTTCATTGTAGCTTCATGGTCAGCAAGCTGATCTCACAGGCCATTATTTCTGAATAATGAATTTGATCCTCACTAGGTGTCTTATTAATGTGATTCCATGCCTAAACTAATGTTAGGAATTAACTATTGATTATCAGTGATAATTTATTTGTCCTTTTTTTTCTTTTTGGAAATTGAAGAAAAATTCAGTCATTAATCACTAAGACAAGTGGAATGCTCAGAAAATGGAAAAATGGAACATTTGTTAAATGGCAACAGATGCTAGCAGATAACAGGAAATGGAAAGTATGACACAGAAATAGGAATTAAAAACAAAATAGACTGCTATATAATGTCTACCCTCTTATATGCTAGTAAATAATGGACAATTTTGTTAAAAAACAAAGCAAAGACTTGAAGTGACAAAGAAGTGGTTCTACAGACACATGTTGAAAATACCATTGACAGAGTCTGTAACAGATAAGAGAACTATAAGGAAGATGCTACTGCTGACTGAGAAGAGAGTTAGATTTTGGGGACATATTACAAAGCAAAACTTAAAAGAATGTAACACTCACAGAATTCATTGATGGCAGAAGAAAGCAGCAAGTAACCTACTTGACAAGTCCAAGTAAACAGATGAAGGAACAAGTAGCATAAAGATAAAAAGGGATTGTAAAAGAGTAACTAAAGAGAGGAAGCTGTAGAGAACCATAATCACCCACTAACAAAAAGTTTTTTTTCTTTTGGTTTGTCTTTTCAGACTGCAATTCATAGATTTAGTCTACATAAAGTTCCTTTTCATTCCATATTATCTGTTTTGAATTTTTTTTGTTTTTAATTGCACAAAAGAAAATTTTATAAACACATTGCCATGAAGCAATGGTTAATGAGCTAATTTCACTAACCATTAATTAACCATCAAGTTTAATCCTTACTTGATGCCCTACAAGAGTTGCCTTTTATATGACAAAGCAAAGCTTAGTAAATACCTATCGAGGCTTCTTCACTATGGAGTATTGGTTAACATACAACTATCAGGAAGCATCATGGCTGTGTCAAATTATATTCTCACCGAGTCTGATATCTTTGATAGATAAAGCAAAGCTTAGTAAATACATATAGAGGGCAACTAGACAGAACAAAGATTAAAGAAGAAAACCATTATGACAAAAGAGTTCAATTCTTGCTAAATGCTTACAGAACGCAACTTGCTTTGGAATTTAACAGATAAACAAACAGAAAAAAAATTCCTTTATTAAAAACTCTTACTAGAATTTTTACATGCCCTAATACCACTGACCTATGTTCACTCTTATGGAAAGATTATGGAAAGATTAAATAAAAATTTAAAAATATCCCTATTATGTAACCATTTACTAAACAGCTGACAGATTTCTCCTAAGTCCACACACAAATACACCATATATTATATACATACTATTTCATTGCATATAATGTATAACCTAAAATTCAAATTTTAAGCTAAAATTCATAATAAAAACAAAATTTAAATACTTCAAATGTTTTAATGGAAAAAATAAATAAAAAGATAACTGAATCAAGTGGCGGGATCATCAGTTCTTTTGAAGGAGTATTATGGCAATATGGCTGTTCTGATTAGATTGAAGCTATGATCCCATTAAATTGCTAAATCCACATTTAAGTTCTATTCTAATAGTTTCTTCTCTTTCATGTCTTGCTTGTGGAGCTCTCCCCCAGTTTTTTTGCTTTCCACATAAGTACAGTCTTCAAAAATTTAAATGCATCATCAGTCATCATATTCCTTAACTGAATCCTGTTCTTTTTATTGTCCCTTCTCCTTAGTAGCATTTTCTCAGTTTCCTTTGTTCTTCAGTAACAAACCCTTTTGTCTCTGGCTTTATTGCCTTGTTAAGGATGAAATGATTAAAAAAAAAAAAAAGTTTGCATTCTTATACTTTTACCATCTCCCAACTAAAATTAAGTGATTTGACAAATTTATAGATGTAATAGGGAGAAATGATTAAAATAAAGCATTTATTACATAACAATATACATTAAAATACAGACATATTATGAAGATCCAGTTAAAAAATATATGATAAAATGTTTGCATGCAGACTATTGTCCTCATCTTTATTGTTATTATGTTTCAGCCATTACACTCTCCAGCCTTCATCAGGTGTTTGCCAAACTTTCAGAGCACAACAGAAACATTATGGTAATAACAAAGATGAGGATAATAGTCCACATGTAAATAATGATAAATCCTCATCCCAGAAATTCAGATAATAAAATATATCAACTTCTGCTGCAAAATTGTGTGTGTGTGAGAGAGAGAGAGAGAGAGAGAGAGCATGCGTGAAAAAGAGAGGATTGACAATTTCTTTAAAATCAAAAGGAAATGCCACATATCTGTTTTTAAATTCCTTATTAGGATGACGATATATGCAGACCCCATACAAGCTGTTCAATTTTGGGGCAATAATAAATGTCAACCCAACCAGGATGCAAGTGCAGGGTGTTGCTCTGAAAGAACAATTAACTCCTGTCCAGGTAAGATTACCTGTCACTGTACAAGGGAAAACTTGATACAAGTTTAATGAGCACTCCCCACCATCACCATGCAGGAAAAAAAAAAAAGAAGTTGGCATTTCTCTTTTAGAGATATTTCAGGTATCAGGGATTGGTCCCGACTCCTTCCACCCTTTAACTGCAATATGAAAGGGTACTATTGCCTGAGAAGACAATCCTCTACTTTATATTTTTTTCCCTATTGTACCTTTGGTAGAGCCAGTTATTTTATTTGCCTTGGCATAAGTACAAATTTTACAGAAGATTGATTTAATGTACAGCTCATCAGGTACACATGAAAGCAAAGGAAAAAAAAATCCTCAGTATACTTTGGTATTTCTCTTTTGGGATGCCACAAACATCAGGGTTTGACCCTGAACCAGACTCTTTAAGTGCAATGGGCGGGGTGTTGCCTGGAGAGATGATCTCCCTAGAGATCTGCAGGTTCTACTATTTATTACTAGAAAGGACAGATGAGTATGAACGGCTCTACCATATCTTCTTGCTGAATTTGTTTAAAATGAAGCTACTGTGGTGAATGGTTTTCTTTGAGTGGTATGTAAGCAGAAAAAAAAAAAAAACAGAAACAAAAAATACAAAACAGCAGAATGTATTTAAAAACATTTTGTTTATGTTTACCTTGTGATATTCATAATTTAATAACTTAATTCTAAGTTTTTATTTTAAAATAATAATGTTAAGGTTGTTTATTTCTGAAGTAGTAACTTGCACAAATTTCTTTTCAATTGGGGAATCCAAAAGATTACATAATTTGAAAGAAAGGGTAACATTTTGACTTAATAAATATGGACCATTTCTTCTCAGAGGATAAAAATTAAGAGATTTATTTTTCAGATACATTGTTAAATTTAATTCAACCTGGAACCAAGAAAATTTATAACCAGGCTCATCTCCCCTGAAAATATAGCATTTAGGGGAGATAAGAGACATTTTTATGACCAATGGATTAAAAAAAGCTAATCTTTTCAGTTTTTTCACTAATTAGTTTTCACTTCAAGAGAATTAGATGTATGCAAGAGTTTCCAATGAAAAACCAGTTTTCAACTCTGTAGTCGATCAACAGTTAAAGAAAAAAAGTGAACACTTGGAACATTTACATTTCAATAAAATAAATTCAGACAATAAATTTCATTGTCTTTAATAAACTAAAAGTAAAAATCTCAACAAAAATTAGTTACAATTTTTACTCTTACCTGATTTCATATCAGGATTTCAATTTTTGCATTTTTTAAGCCATAAGATTTTACAGATTACCAGAACTTCTATGCTCATTTTTAAATTAAGCTTTAAAAATGTAAATCATGCTGAGTGAGGCATTTATAGAATTATTTTGAAAATAGGTGTTTTCAACCTATTTCTATTTAACAGTTAAAATTGCCCCCTTTTTTCCATATAATCTAAACTATAATTATAAGCTATAAGTTTGGAAAGTTTTTTTTTTAATTTTTTTTATTTGAAATCAAAAAAGTGAAAGTATGAAATATAACCAAAACAATACACTACTTAAATAAACTGGTTCACATGTATAAAAAATAAGTAAAAATAGGAAAAAAAATTCCGGAAATAATTTTTGTATATTAGCATTCCTTAGATTTTCATCAAAGAACAACATTTGTCAGAATTAAAAAATAGTGATTTTTTTTTTTATTTTATCATTTTAGAATATCCTATTCATAATGTTGATACAGTATAAAAATCAATCCCTGACTTTTTAAAGAGTTATCTAGACTTGGTTATTTACAAATGTTAAATTTGAAATCCCGCTTACATCATTGACATATCTGCATATTTTTTTTTTAATTTTGTGATTTTCTTAAACATCCCCCACCTCAAATAAAAAACTGTTTAAGGGGATTTTTTAGAAGCATATGTACAAACACTGATGAATAATTATTTATCTTAAAATGAAGAATAAATAGATATATACTTTTATTAATGTATGTAAATTTATTTGTTAATTTATTCATTAATTAAAAATTACTATATTTGTTAAAAAAAATAAAACAAATAAAAAACAAGGCAAACAAAGTAAAAACAAACTTTCACCAGACAAATAATTTCTTATTTAAAATATTTTAGAATAAAATACAAAATGTATATATCTGTTTGTTCTTTATTTTAAAAAAATTTTCTCATAGAAAAAGAAAGAAAAACAAAAAAACATCTTTTCATACACAGATATCAGTGATGTAAGTAGTTTCAAACTTGACATTTTAAATAACAACTAATTCCAGATAACTCTTTAGAAAGTCAGGGATCAGTTTTACACTATATTTATATGGACAGGACTCCCTTCTTAAAAATAATTAAAAAAAAATATCAATATTTTTCAATTCTGACAAATGTGCTTTGAGAAAAGTCTAATGAATGCTAAGCTATAAAAAATTATTTCTTAACACCCCCACCCCATTTTGGACACTAGTTAAAAAAAGAGTGAAAAAAAGGCAAATCAAACAAATCCAAGATGAAGTTAAAAATGATATTTGCTTTTGGATATGAAGAATTGCTCCCAAATTAGCATTTAATAAGCTTGCCAAAGCTGAATCAGTGAGAATTGAAGAAAATGGGACAGAAAATAGTTTACTCTTCCCTATCTGTTATAAAAGATGGAAAGAACAATAAAACAGTTAAATTTTGCATGGATGTGGTAAAGCAGGCATTGTTATTAAATTATTATTATTATATATATATATATATATATATATATAACATCTATGTACATACTGACTTACATTGTTATTAATCTTAAGTTTAAAGCATTTTTTGTAATTTTAATTATTTACATTTGCTTTAAATTATTCAAATACTTCAATTTTTTTTTTGCATACTTATTAAAATAAAATATAACGTTAAATAGGTATCAACAGTCTGCAATTGATTAGCAGAAATTCTTAAACTTACCAAAAATTCTATTCACCTTGAAATAAATTAAATTCTTGTAATTTTAGAAGGTGTTATTTATTTGCATTAAAATTAAAGTATATATAAACATTATTTTTAGAGGGTACATCTGTGAGTTGACATTCCACTAATATTTATTATATGAATATTTTATTAAAACAATATTTATAATAAAAAAATATATATATATATATATATATATATATTATATATTTCATTTTCAGACAGTGCAACTAGACATCCAAATACTTCAAGCCTGGATCGAAACACAACTGATCAGCCAGAGTTTCTACCACTGGGCTATCTTCATTCAATAGAGAGAAACAACTAAATCTAGTGTATTGTTTTTACAAATGTAAACAAATGACAATCAGCCGGAGTGCTCCAATTCATTTTACTGAAGAGCTTTGCATTAACACAGGTGGATATATAGACAAAAACAGTTTACTCACTACAAAGATGCAACTTTGTTTCGGTGCATTTCAATTGCACCTCAACTGGTGAGAACCAAAAATGGTTATGAACAATTCTCCTTGTAAGCAAGCTGTATGTAAAACGCCACTTCCTTTTTTTCCATTTGTTTGAGAGAAAAAAAAAATTATAATAAATAATTATCGTTCTACTATCGGTATTGAGCCCTCTTTTGGATTAATTAACGAATGTTAGAATTTATATATTACTTTTGTTCTCATTGCCTCATATATATATATATATATATATATATATATATATATATATATATATATATATATATTAGTTATGTGTTACTTTGTCCAGGTAAATAAAAATTGCACCCGGTCAGAATTCATAAGATTAGCATAATGAGATTTTATACATGTTTAAAGCTTGTTATATTTATAAAGGAAGAGTACTTAAGAAACAAAACCGCCTGGTGACTGTCAGTTTTATACCTCAATGTGATCTTCAGAACATTGAAAATATATATATATATATATATATATATATATATATATATATATACACACACACACACATATAGTATAATCGTAAAAAAATTAGTTTAAAAATTAGACCAAACCTATTTAAGATATTGACTCATGATGCAGAGTTTTGTAGAGAAACTCTTGAAGTTTATTATATCTCCTTATAGATTCTTGTTGTGTGCAACTTTAGTCACATGCTTACCTTCTTCATATAGTCATGGTCTCTTAGAATTTTTATATGTTTGAGATTTCTTGTATCAATTGTTAATTGCCAAGAAAGTAGTGATCTACTGAAAAATTACTGTTGCACAAAAACATAATTCTACCATAATTTTTCCAGAAAATAAATCAAATCACTTTCTAATGTTATTGTAGTTCTTATTCATGCTCACATGTCAATTTGACTGTTCCAGTGTACAGTCCAGTGCATGCATAGGAAAGATGATTATAGAAGGTTATAATAATAATAATGACTCTTCTCAAACTTATTGACAATATCCATAACAGAATTTGTTTTTCTTAATTCAATCATACCAAGAAGCCTCCATAACATCTGCAAATAAATTTCTTCACTGCTTGCTGAATGATCACTGAAAATAGAAAAACCTAGTGATGCAGAAAAGACTTAATGGCTCACTGCCAATATATTAAATTACTGTGATAAAATTTAAGAATTTCTCAATAAAACTATACATTCTAAGAAGTGCAATCATCCAGACATATTTATAAGTATACTTAGTTTTATTTCATTGAGGTGAAGCAGGGTGATGAAACAGTTACCAGTGCAAACAAAAAAAAAAAACGGAAAACTGGTTTCAAATTTCAGCTGAAATTATGTTTATTCATAATAGTTACATTACACTAATCTCTTTTAAAAAGGATATAAATACTTTTCTTTCTTTAGTCATATGTAAATAATAGTAAAAAAGAAAATTTTAAAAAAATTAAAAAAAAAAAAGTCAATCATACTTACGTCCCCTTTCTCTGACTTCCAGGCTTTGGGAGCTTGCTTATGGATTTTCTCATCTAAATTCACAAAATGATACTCTCCATCTAAAAATAAAGAAAAAAAAATAGTTACATCACTGAAAATAATACAAGCAACTTTTATTCAAAATACTCAAAAATCTTACAAAGTTATTTTACTTGAAAAAATTAAAGCAGACCAACACATTTAATAAGTTATGAACAAAGAAATTTAAATTTAAATATCCATTCAAGAAGTAATTAAAGTCTAAATAGTCACCAAATTTCTTTTCTCATTTTTTTTTAATAAATATTTTTACGTTCAAGGTTGCAGAATGTTTATGTCTTCTGTTGATAATGTTTTTCAGCAAAGAAAACTTAATAAAATCTTTTACGTTTTAAAAAAGAAAAGACATTTGTTTTTAATCATGGTAGAGTAAGAATAAAAAAAAAAAAAAAAAAAAGTCATATGACCTTGTTACAAAAATAAATAAAAATCAAAAAGTATCCTTTTGACCAAACCCAGAACTTTTTCAAATTATTTTAATCCTCTTCCCTCAGGCCCCACCAACCCCTAAATATTTTTTTTTAAATCATACAAGCAATTCCAAATGTTACATTTTTAAATTTAGTCAACATGAGGCCTTGCAGGCATTAACTTTAAAACATAATCAACATAGCTTGTTAGCCATCAATGACTTCTTTGAGAAGAAAAAAATGATATCCTTTAAATCTACTATAGAAACCCAAATTCACTTAGTTACCATTAAGCTATACCTGAAAGTTACTCTCTCACTCACTGGAGTAATAAATTTCCGTCTAATGGATTTGCCAGATCTGTCTGCAAGGATTGAAATTCTTTAAAAAGAGTCAGAGTATTTTAATATACTTAATGTTGACACATAACATAGATGGATTAGTTTTTCACATGGATAAACAAAATAATTTGCTAGATGAAAGACAAAAAAAAAGAAGTAGTTATTTTGTATACGACTTTTTGTTTCCTATTTCAAATGATTGGAGAGAGTACAAAATAACAGCATTAATAGCTATTTCATAATTATAACCAAGATAAAGAGCCTATCATATATTTTTAGTGAATGGTCAAAAACCTTCATTCTTATTTTTCTGTTAAGCATTAAATTTTATTGGACAACATATTTACACTTGCCTGCTCCACTGTTTTCTGCCATCTTTCAAGGAACTTCATAATTTCAATGTTACAATTTTTTTAATCTCTCTAAACTGCTTAATGTCTTTGGAAATCTTCCAGAGATTTTTTTTTCTTCAAGACAAATCTGTAAAAACTGGAATAACTTATTATTCAAAAGTGTAATCATCTGATGACGACAGACAGAGACTAAAACGTCCAAGCTTTGCTATATTAACTTTTACCTAATCACCAAAGGAACATGTCCTAGCATTATCCCAAAAGAATATTAACACTCTTTCTTTTAACTAATTTGAGATCCTGCACCAATTGCAATGTTTGGTTGGTACAACTAAGAGCAATACTTGTTGAAATTAATTGTTTTGTTCTTCAGAAGGAAATCCTTGTAGAGGAGTCCGTTCTAATCCCCCCCACATATACAACATTGCTTAGTTTAAATGACAACCTGCTGTGGTACAGTTACTGGTTACTTTCATATGCCTAACGAGTTTTTGTATTCCACATTGTTATAAAGTATCCTATTTTTCATTGTCCATCAGAATGTGGTGGTGGTGTTAATAATATCATTAATAAACAATCAAAATATAATGATCTTTAAGTGGAAATCTCAAAAATGTGACATCAATAATTCCAGTTATAGTTGAAACCCTTAGATTGGAAAAGAGTTCCCATAGACTAATTGAAGGGATTCCTGGTAGCCCATGACTTGAAATACAAAACACTGTACTCACAAATACAGCTCACACATGACAAAGAGAATTACCCATGTAAAACGTCAGTGTTCTTTGTTTGAAAAAAAAAAAAAAAAAAAAAAAAAAAAAAAAAAAACTATCAATGGAAAATGACATGAAGCCATTTCTGATCTTATATATCTGGTTTGGAACCAGAAAGAAATGAGTGCTCATCATCAGTAGTAGTAGATGATAATAATAATAATGATAATAATAGGGAAATCCAGGTAAAAATGAACCAGACACAAATGTGAAAAATGTTGAAAATATCTGCTTTCCAATAGATGTTGTAGCCCCAGCTGCACCCCCCAAAAAATAAATAAAAATGGCATCTTTGAAAATGTTTTAGAACCTAAGTAAATACAAGAACCTTGAGACAGAAATCAGTACAATGTGACGCCTCAAGACAACAACATTACCTGTTGTTATTGGGGATTTAGGATAAATATCAAAAAGAAGCAAACAAATATGTAGAACAAATTCCTGCTTGCTGTAAAATATATAAATTGCAAAAAATAAAATAAAATAAATAAATATCATACTCATGGGTACATGTCACATCTTGTTGTCTCTTGAAGTTTCTAGCCAAGACACATATGGCACAAAGCAAAGACAAAATAAATTTTTGTGATGATTTTCCTATTATTATTAACACATTCTGCTAGACAATGAAAAGTAGGATACTTTACAACAATGTGGAATGCAAGAAATCATGGGGCATATGCAAGTAACCAGTAACTGTACCAAAGAAAGTCTTCATTCAGTATTTTTCAATTATGTAGAAGCTACACATGAAATCAACTAACGTAACCAAGCTAAATAATTTTCAATACTTTAGTTGAATATCTTAAATATGTTGGTTATCTGCCAAGTCATATAACATTAATTATTCTGAAGCAAAGTCTTAATTTAATTACTAGTAGCTTCAATTGGTCAACCCAATCATGAAATATCATTCAATAAGAAACTCCAGCACAAACTTTTTACACCATATTTGATATGTTCAATCATTACCATTTCCATAAAATGCACATATTTTGCATTTGAGTTGCATTTTTACCTTAAAATAAAAGAAAAAAGTTCAAGTTGAAAATCTACCTAATTTTCTTCCATCTTCAAATGTTAGAATCAACAATGAAAAATATACTAATCTTGGTAAATTTGTCAAAATAAAACACATGCTGATATGACAGCTGTCATGAGTCTATCAAATGTGATATTATTTTGCTTGAGGTTAAGTAAAACTAAATACTCCTTATGTTATCTAAAAACAAAAACAGAGCAACATTTTTGGCCAAACCAACCCTCCCACCCTTCATTTTGTAATCAATATTCTCAAAAGTAGCATCTACTGAGAACTCTCGGAATCCTTGCATGGGTTTTTAAAAAAAAAAAAAAAAAAAAAAAAAAAATTAAATCCCATGACTTTACTACACATTGTATCAATTGTTTTGTTTTAAAAAGATGAAGAAATTCCAGTTGATCCAGCAATGTCAAATCTATCAAAATTGTTGTTTGGAAACAAGGAAAATAATTCTATTTTGTCTTTATAAAAAGGCACAAAAAGCAAACAAATAAAATTTGTATTTGATTTTTTGGATGGGGAGTTATTATATACAGCTGAACTAATGAATCAGAATGTTTCAGCCATTGTACTCCTTAGCCTTTTTCAGGTGCATGTTGATCCAGGTAATCTTCAGGGAATTTCAAATTGAACCCTTTATTTACAAATAGAAACAAGAACAGAGAGAGTCAAGTCTAACAGCAAGGCTTCAACAGTAAGAAAAGAATTAGCAATGGTGGGAGTCAAGCTTAGCAGTAAGGCTGCAGCAGAGGCATTAAATTTAAGGGTTCAAGTTCTAGTTTCAGGTTGTCCTAGAAGATTAAAGTATTTATTCATGAGTTAGGTGATATAATAGTTGTGAGTTCAATCTCTGGGTTAGACTCCGTGAGAACAGGACAAGCAATAATTGAGCAGTATAAAAAAAAAAAAAAAGGATTGGACAGTAGAATAAAGAGTAAGAACTATCTAAACCTAGAAATTAAACAAAGGGTTCAGTTCAAAATTCACTGAAAGTTATCTAGATTGACAGACACTTGATGAAGGCCAGAATGCACAACAGCTGAAACATTGTAATAACAAAGAGGACATTCAGTCAGTTATGTGCCATACGTGATACACGCCTAGGCAATCATGTATCTTTCAATACACGACTAATGAGGCAGATTTTTCCCCCCTGCAGTAGTTTGTCATTTCCTTCTGCAGTAGACCAGTTACCATCCAAGGCTATAGAACCTGGTCTGTCCTGCTATTTACCATAGCTTGAGAAGAGGATTCATACCTTTCCCAAGGGTATTAGCATGTAAGTGAATGTAATCAACTCAACTGAAATTCAAACTCTGCTCTCAGAATGCTCAATCTGAGCCGCTGTCTATTAATCCATCATATGAATATATAAATATAAACAAGAGCAAAATGAAATTCTAATTTTTTGGAAAATTTTCTAGAAAAGTAGCTCTTTTCAAAATTCAGACTAGTTTACATAATTATTGTATAAATTCTTTCTAATCAATAATTGTTCTTTTTAGTGTCAAGTGTATCATTTATTTTTAATAATGCTTTTATTAAAAGGCAATAATGCTACATGAACACACAGATTACCTCAGTCAAGTTCCATATTGTTAACTGCTTTCCTCATAGCACTTATCTTTTGCTTTCTTTTTAAAGAAATAAATATTTACATTAGAAATTTTTCAAGTTTATGTGGTGTGAAAAAAAAAAAAAAAAAAAAAAAAAAAAAAACTTTTTGTAGTTTGGCTAGAAATAGTAATTTTGATACTAAACTGACCTTTGGCAACCTCTAGTGACCCTGGAGATCAGTGTCAGTTTGCCCATATTAATCCTTGGGTCAAGTTACTCTTATAGTCGAATTTTTAGTCCTTCAGATTTTGCTATTTGGCAGGTCATTAAGAAGCACAGGCTTTATATTGTTTATGCAAGTTACACATTGAAGATATAAACATCAAGCAGGTGCAGAAGTTCAAATATCTGGGAAGTGTTTTAACAGAAGATGGAAAATGCAACACTAAGATCTGAACAGACATTGGGTGAATGAAAGAAGCATTCCAAAAGATAAGCAAGAAAGATGCTGAGAAATGGAAAAGTTTTATTAGAAACAAAGAAA